AAGAACACTGGTGTCCTCATCTAACCCTTGACCAACATGTAATTGTTTGTGTTTTCAGGGTGACAGTCAGGAGGTTAAAGTCTGCATAAGTCTGCATGTTCATGCTCATGTTTCTGTTCATGTTTGACTGAATATCATTTATATCATGGTGTACACTATCTCAGTTTTCAGCAGGGGTTTGTTTAATTCAAACAGAGTATCAATTTATTCTCTTGTTGTAAATCAGGAAAAAATCCTCTGGTGAATGAAAGTAACTACATAAATGTGCCAACTAGATCCATTAGTTTGAAAAGGCTGCAATACTCCTGAAGCGACTAAAAATACAGGGTGTTAAAAAAATAGACTAAGGATAGCCACAAATCCTCCAGCTGTTTTATAGACCAACATGATGCTGCACTGCTACTATCACAACAGGTAAACTACAACGTAGTTTCATATTCCAGTCGCTCATGCACCATGGCATCATCCTTGTACATCAGACGAGGAGGAGTCATGGAACAGTCCATAGCCAAGATGACTTTCCGTATACTGCGGTCAAGAATGTGACGTTCCCAGGCTGGGTATTGATTCCTACAAAGGTCAAGTTTGATAATAGTCTCGTCTAGGCGTGGAGCACGGGATGAAGGAGTGGATGGCACTGGGTGTCGGACCTGAAACACTGGGATACAGCTATCCCGTTCTGAATACTTTCCAGTGTCACGCTCTAAGGTTCCAGTAGTTCCTCGGTTGGAACGCAGTGAGTTGGTTCCACCATCAGAAGGTAGTGTGGAGAACTGAGCTGTTGGGTCCATATCATGCCCTTGACAGCTAGTAGAGCGTCCAAAGCGAGTACCATTGGGATGGAAAAAAGCATAGTACATGAGCATGAAAACCAGACCAGTAAGAAAACTGCTGAAAATGACACAGAGTGCTGGGACTGCAAAGGCGTCAGTGGTTTTAGGTGTTCTGTAAAGATACCACAATGCACTGAGAGTGGCATTCTCCACCAGGATCACTAGATAATAGATTGACAGTCGATACCTGCACAAACAAATGAGATAGAATAACAAAAGTATATTAGGTGGAGGACTTCGTAGCATTAGTGAGATTAAAAACAAAGAAAATACTGTTTAATTTAAAGTCTAAATTTCAAGTCCTGTGCTTAATTAAAGAAAATAACTGGTAACTGAAGGTGGTTGTCAGGAACTTGGGTTGTGGATTTTTTCAAGAGTTGTATTTTGATTATTTGTGTCTCTGCCTGTCTTTTGTCATTCCTCATTTTCTCTTTCCTTATTTTGATCAGCCTTTGTTTCCTTCTTTAGATCAGTCTGTTCTTATTTTAATTAATAATAAATAGTTATTTATTATTTCTTTTAGATTATGTTCAGCCTGTTTCGTAGTTTTATTGCTCCTTGCTCCTCTATGCCATTAATGTCTTTTCACAACTGTGACTTTCTCTAATCGGGCATCTGCTCCTCACCCAGTCAAGCTCCCAGCATTTAAGTCCCTCTTCTTTCATTCACCCTGGATTCGACTGCTTTCACCTTTCATCTCCCCACAGTTTTAGTTTTTATGCTCAAATATTATATAACTATCTTTGCTTCATTAAAATATCAAAACATTAAGAAGTTCTCTGCGCCTGGATACTTTGTTTTGTTCATGACAATGATGGGGCTCTCATACAATATTTTGGTTGCTAGTTAACTAGCTTGAAGCATACCTTATCTATTGCTTGTTTATTTAGCAGTATATGCAATCTTTGTTTTGTTTCCTTTTTGGTCTAAAGATCCAAAGCCACTAGTGGAGATGTCCCTCTGACCATGCGATAAACTACCATTCTTTCATTGGAAAATCCCTGATTCTCAAGAGTCAGTCAAGTACAAAAGAGGTAGTGTCTGGACATAAATAATAGCTTAGGACAGTGTTTCTCAACCTTTTTTAGGCCAGCATCCCCCTAATCACTATCCCAGACCCTTACCGCCCCCCTTCAAATAATTTGTAGGCTACTTTGCACTGAATATTATTTTATTTGTAATATTACTGTCATTATTGTTGATGTTTTTATTTTTATGGTTGTTTCTGTATTTATCAATAAAAATAATTTCCCAGAGAACAAAAAAGCAATGTGAATGGAAATTATTTTTACAGGTGTCCAAGAAAACTGCAATGGACATTCAACTTAAAATCGATAGGCCTAACAACAGCCAATCAGAGTGGAAAAAAATATTCCTGTTCTGTGCAATATTCCGATGTAAGTTACTAAATTTTAAAAGATGTAGAACAATACCACTTTAAACTATTTGCAAAAAACTGAGCTCTGCAACATTGAAACATCGGTAGAACTGCAACTAGTATTAATCATAACTCATCTTCTCTTCAGTGTTTCTGTCAGTTTCTGATGATGCAGCTCTGTGCTGCCTTCAGGAGAATGGGACATATA